TATACTTAGAACTTTGTTTCTTGTGATATAGAGTACAAAGTTAATGATAACTCCTTGCTTTGTTTGTATTTTATTTTTGAAAAGCAAAGAACAATTTACAGACTTTTTATGCATCCCCTCTCTGTGAACTTCCATTAAATCATTTTCAATTTCTTTGGAGTCCTGAGGAAACATAAAAAATATATATATATATACACATAGGAAAACAAGATGTATAAACAAACTTAGAGAAACACTGCAGCATCCTATCTTTGTAAAAATACTACTCCTGCCAAGTCTCCAGAGAGGGGAGGAAGAAAAGAGGAGAGATGGAGAAATCTACAGCAAGAATGGAGCAAACCAAAATCTACAGTGATGCAAGGGATGAAACGCCCTTAGTTGGTGTACTCGCCATTGTCCAAGCCCAAAAGTGCATTTCTTCTTTATGGAGGACAATGCTCAAATATTCATTTTCAGAGTGAGAATACTGGGCTACTAATACAAAAAGAAACACTTCTTTAACAAGAAACAAACAGATGTCACACGTCCACTTACAACTGTAATGCTTGATAATGGTATCACTTAGTGCAAGGAACTTCTATGACAAATCAAACCTGTGTTAGTCAACACCTGGATATTTGTCATCCAGTGTCTCACAAGGACACTTTTATCACACCTTGCATGATGAAATGTATTACTAAACATTATTTAGATCCCTTATCAACCTGTCTAAGTTCAAATTTTACATATAAACTGTCCCATACACAAAAAAAATACATATTCTTTCAAATGTTTACTCCCTTTATATCAAGAGACTGCTTCACCTGCCTCTACAACAGAGTGAACATGCTTTTCACCTACCAATAACTTTGTTGGCATACAAATAAATGAAATTTTCAAATCTTTAGCACCCACAGTTAACAAGACAACCTAAAACTGCCCCACAACCAGATCTGTGAGACAAGCTTTTTATTCATGGTTACCTTTCAATCTGTTGTAAGGGCATTTAAAAAATATATTTGAATATTGATATTGATAGCTATTATTTACCATGTTCAAAAAAGATAATGGAGCCTTGTCATTATGTACATGGTAATGGTGCACATTCTTTGGGATGAGGAAAAATTATCACTAATGCCTCTGGTAATTATGAAATGTTATCTTAGAATGTACATATGGATATCTATTCTCACTAATTGCAGAACTTGCCAAAAATAAAAAATATAACTATAAAAAATATCACAAATAAACACGGATAGAACTATCTTTACATGTAGAAATATCCCTGTCTTAATACATAAAAAATAAATGACAAAAAAAATTAAGTGGAAAAATGATAGAACCCTATACACACACGCACACACACACACTTGAAGACTCCTGAGCCTTTTGAAGCATGCTTATTCCTAAAAGAAAACTTAGGTTTTATTTACAGCTTGTTCATAATATTAAATCCACGCAATCTTTTATTGATCAGCATATGCCTTGTATCATTTCAATTTCTAACAGGTTTGATCCCCATGATCGTTGACCATTAACAAGATCATATATTTTGAAATATCAAAAATGTCTAGCTAAAAACATCTACTTTGAGTTACACAAGTTAATGACAAAGTAGTACTGGATATATAAAGAAGCTGGAATCCACTGTGTCAATGGTCAACTGGCCTGTATACAACAAGTAACATCAGTTCTGCACTGGTGCATTGTAACAATTATGGCATTGATCTGAAATAACTAATATCACATTTAATTCATAGTTGGTGCTGGATAATTCTCTAATCAATTCACTTCCTTAGTTGCAACAAATGACTGGTAAGTCGGTGTGATTGCGGGCAATGCAACATCATTTTACATTTTCAAGGTGAGTAAATCCTACTGAAATAAATAAATACTCCATCCTGAATCTCAATAAATATCTTATCTTCAATTACCACTCAGTGATGTGGTCTGGCTTCTCTCCACCACTATATTTCTTCCACATACGCCCAAAGAGACGTTCTAGATTGGTTGCATATGTCTTGCAATCAAACAGAGGGGAGTCGATGCGAGCCTTCCATACTTTAGCTCTCGTGGCTTTTAGGCTGGGGAGAAAAAGGTCATGTTGTAACTGAGCACTGCAAAGATTTCACTTTATGTATATAACAATAGCAATTTCACTTAAACTCAAGTTGATGTAACAGATTAAGGTCTCCCCCCCCCCCCAAAAAAAAAGAAAATACTTACTATTCACGATCATTCCCTAGTTTACAGGCAATGTCCTCATACTCCTGTCTGGTTTGTGCTACAAGCTCTGGACACCCTAAGCAGTGGAGTTGGGAAGCTGCAACTCTGGATGCCAAGGTTTCTCCAGACAGTGTAATCATAGGAGTACCTGCCCACAAAACGTCCATACCTGGAAAGCAAAAAAGTATATTTTTTGTATGCATACAAATGTTGATTCTATACAACCCTACATTATTGACATTCTGGAAGAAAATGGATTTAATAAATACAGTTTTAAAAAATTAACAAGTGAAAG